TAGTTGAACTATTTTCATCAATATTTATAGTTGTTGTCGAAAAATGTAAACAATTAGTTGTTTCCTTGAACCTGTTAGTAGAAGTAGACGGACTTCCTGAATCACTTGCTCGTCGTTTATCACACATTTTGTTTAGAAAATAACTTCATGTAAGAAATTTCAAATATTTAAAAATTATTTCAAATATTTTATAATATGACAAATCCTTCGTCATTTTGCGATTTTGCACACGCTATCGTTGCCATGACACTTTGACAAACTATGTTCGATTCATGTTCGACGATCTTCGATTTTGTGACTGTCCTATCTTTAAAAAACGTTTTGCAGAAAATACTCAACTAGATCTTGGTTTTTTCCAAAAAATGTTGACAGGTAACTGTCTCATCTGCGAGCACACAAATTTTCTAAGCTGGGGTAGCACTTTTACATGTGAAGCGCTTTGCAAAAAGCCTTGGCGATTGTTTTTGATATTTTGCTAAATGGTTGAAATACCATTAAAGTTTGACATTGATATTATATAGTGTTCTTAAATTTCCAAAAATTGATAAATTGTTTCACGAAGAGTAGGAAAATCACCTCAAAATGCACTGTAATCAGTTAATTTGAATACACGAGGCAACCAAATAGGCAGAAATACAGCGGAAAAAGTGTATGCATTTAGGTCAGCACAGAGAAAAATACTCAACTCCGATTTTTACATTATCGCTTATATAAAACAAATGAATAGTGGTTTTTACGTACCTGAAAGATCCAACCTGGGGTTGCAAGTTGACAAGTCCTAATCTGTTGCTGAAATTTGCAATCCGCCAATGACTATGATTGGCATAGCTTTCATCCACGATAAAATCTTTTTGAACAACTTCTTTCAGCATAATGATATTTTGTAAGTTGAAGCAAACATTGCATTAACTGTATCTGTCGAAAAATCCTTGAAATATATTTGATCCTCAGCGTAAAAGCGACAAAATCACAACGCCAAAAAATCTCACTCCTTCGACAGTTTTGTTTAAAAGCACGCTCGTGCCAGTCCTCTGCCGCATCACACATCGATCAGCGCGCTATGAGTGCGTTTCACCGCCCATTATATAAGCGCCCTGATCTAAACTGTGTTTGCATTCTATGTAAAAAGTGCTGTAGAATATTTTACTAACCAAGAGTTTCCGATGTTTACAATTGTTTTTTTTTGCAAATGTTTGGGACTTTGTACTTTCACCTCACATGATCTTTTTTTCCCGTTTTTTACAAACGTACCATGCAATATAATAATATACACTTAATATCTGCACCCGAGGGAAATAGTTAGTTTTGTTTTCCCGAGAATCTCAATGTTGTTCGAGGGAAAACAAAACTAACTATTTCCCGAGGGAAAAGACGTTAAGTGTTTTGTTATATAGCGACGAAACAAATATCAACATTGAACAACATTCATACAACAATATTTGTATTTCATGACAAAAACTCTACAGCGTAAACGAGTTTAAAATTTAAAAAACCTACTTAAATGGTTTCAGCAGCATATCCTGTTGCCTGTTATGTATTTTTCTTCTCTTTTACATTCTTTATTTTAACACAAAACCGCGAAAACAGTAGATTAAATAGTATAAATTTGTGCCGCCATTTTGTTTATTTATGTACGTAGCCGGTCGGGGCGGGCAACAATTTTTCACTTATTGCCCGGGCGGGATACATTGCATTTATCTAAAGCCACGTGACTACAAATCAGCCAATCACGTTTGGTGTTCACACTAGCTATATAACAAAAAAAATTACTGACCTCAACCGTTTGGGCAGTGGTCATGGAAAATATCCAGTGGCGCCTCCAGCGCGATAATTGGGGGGTGGGGGGCGAATGTTCATATATTTGTGTTCAGAGACAATAAAAACAATGGATTTCAAAAGAAGTTAATAATGGAGAACAAGAAGATATGAATATTCGCCCCCCTCCCCCAATTATCGCGCTGGCGGCGCCACTGAAAATATCCAACCTCGGTCTTGCTGTATTGGCCTCGCTATCGCTCGGTTAATACAGCAAGACCTCGGTTGGATATTTTCCCATATATTTTTTTTGTAATAAATGAATGCAAGACCGAGACGAATTGCATTCCGAACACAACGTGATTTATCGATTTTTACTTCACGTGCGCTCCACTGAAAATATTTGACAACATCAGTTTTCCCTATATTGACTGATACGCGAGGGAAGCACTGTATATATGGGTACGCTGTCCTATAGATTCTATTTCAGAGGTATCCAATCTTGCACGGTGCATTCTTTCTATAGTGTTGGGTCGGCAAACATCTCCTTCCGGTTTGTACTCACGCTATTTCGGCAGAAATGTAAACATGGCTTTTATAAGCAGCCTCTTTGGCCAAATGCTAGTAGTAAGGTAGTCTCTATCGGAAATTTTTAATTGCCTTTATAAACGAATTTTTAAGTGTTTTTGGTTTTGGATGACTGTAATAAATCGAAAGTAAAAGACTAATCTTCATCTGTGTGCAAAAATTTAACTTTGGATTTCTTGTTTGTTGTACACTGTGAGGAAACACATCAATACACTGTTCATAATTCTCTCACCTAACATATTTACAATCACAGCTTTTAACAGTTTTTTTTTTCTCTCACGAGAGTCAAGGCCGTAGAGAATACGTTAAGCTGGAGAGGGGAGGGGTTGTTGTGTTATATCACATTTCCCGACAACATTCCAGTCGCTAATTAATATCATTATATATCATAAGTATATTATGTTATTAATAGATAATTATCAAACTTTTTGCTTTTTCATCCGAGCCACTCAAATATTTTCGCTAACTAATATTTCCGATAAATCCGCTATTTGGCCGACAAGATATTTTAGAGTTCTCACACCCCCACGCATCCTATCCCTATAGCAATGGTCCTGAAGAAAGTGGTGGCATATATTGTTATGTTTTTCGACTTTTATATTTAGGGTCGCGCAGGACAACACATGAAGTGGCCCATCATCATTAGCATAAACTAGATGGCGTATGAGAGGTAATATATGAACAATGGAAGGTTGATCGACACTACTACGTAACAGCTGTCGATACTTTCACGTCACTGTAGGGGTAGACACCACAGAACAAGTTTTGACATCGTGCAGTTACAGTATAAGAAATATGACAATGACAAACAGAATGATTAACCTTATAATACAGAAGTCGCATACCTCTTGCAGTGCACGAGTCCGTAAGATACATATCATCAATAGCAATGTCTCCATCAGGACCATCACCACGTACACCTTCGATTAGGTACTGCAAGTGAAATAGAAAATTGTGGTGTTTCCGTTAACTGGTAAGCCATCTTCATTAATAGTACTTACCGTTGAACCAGCAAGTATATGTCTAGTATGACACAAGCATAATTTCATGGCCGGTTAACGGACATGATTTATTTTACTTTCTTCGTGATGGCGAAACACGTCATCGTGAAATTTGGCTTCAATTATGAACAATGAATTATATAACGCGAGGTTCGTTTGCCTAAATCGCTGGCTGCAAAACCAAGTCTGCCGATATATCTCATGATCATGTAATGTTGGCCTGATTTCAGCTACTTAAGGCTGATTTCCACTGTTGCGTTTTTCATACGTACATATACGCACGTAAAACTTTAAATCGGTTTAAATGTTACTCATGAAGTAACCAAATAAATAAAGAAACAGAATTTAGTGTTCTGAAAGTTTTAGCATGCATTTGTTAACTTATTTGTAAAATATTTAAAAAAAAGAAGGATTCTAAGTTTTACGTGCGTGTATGTGTGTACCAAAAACGCAACAGTGGAAATTAGCCTTTAAGCTCTATATAAAAATATGTACCGCACTAATACCACTGCATGTAGGAACAACAGAAAATGAAGAATAGGCAGTATTAAAATATTAAACCAAGCAGACACTGAAATAAATATTTCTGCAAACTATGTTCTGCAATCAGCAATTGAGGAAAATTACAAACAACCTACCACGTTCTCCAATTTTTCGAGTTACAGGCTTACAGCATAGCGTAATCTTTACTACACAGGCCATTTTTCAACGGGTTATGTAACGATAATATGCCAATTAATAAGGAAGTAGAATAATTTTGTCTGTGATTTCACGCTGTGTTTATTGTAAAATTCATTAACACAAACTCCTCGGCTTGAAAAGCATTTAGTACACCCCATTAGAGTGGTGTCAATGGTGTGCGTTTTGCATTTTCTTTTGTTTTTCTCAAAATCCCGGCCAAGAATATTTTAAAAATTTTAAAAATATCCGTTTCATTGTTTTAACTTTCTCGTGCAAGATTCTGCGTTTTCGATGATCCGCTTTATTTATTTTTTTTAAATTAAAAATCAAACTATTTGAAATACAAATCATGCCAGACATTCAATTTTTTTTAATTGTCCGGCTGTCGGATTTTATGGTTTTGTAAAATACAATGATTAAATTAAATGATTCCCTCAAGTTGTAGTAGAGGTAGCTAAATGAATTCTATATTTCTCAATTTAAGAGAGTGTTCTATAGCAATTATTTGGCACTTATTTGACCATCGAATAAATATATATTTTATCTTAACGACTTATAATAAATCTCTATATAAATACCTGCAATGCGAGAATGTTTGGTTTCTGTTATTGAGTTAATGCTGCTTCTAGCTAGATGTCAAAAACAACTATTGCCCTGAATTTTATTGCGTCAGGTGGTTCGGGTATCACACGAATTCAAACTGGTGTAACGTTTTTATATTGCTTATGCATGGCATTTTATGTTGTTGGCCGTGGAACAAACTACTATCAAACTTCAGTCCCTGCTAATTTTGTTAGTCATGCACGCGCATGGCGTAAATAACCTGCTGGAGATTATTATCCTTGCCGGCTTTCTTATACAGTAGGCCTGGCTAGGCAGAAAATAATTCACATAAATCTGCACCATTGTTTGAACCACTACAGCGGGTAGCCTGAACCAGTAGTCATTATATATACACACTAAAAAAAACAAGGGGGAGCGGGAACCAGAAAATTTAACTGGAAATAGTATTACGCGAGAGTGGTCAAGTGGGCGTTGGCCATGGGCGTGGTGGGCTGTACGGACGGGGGGAGTTTTGGTGGTCATGTGACTTCAGGAATGTTGCTGTCCTGTTGTGCGCTCTGGGGGTGTGTATTTTTTGTTTTTTTGGGGGGGCGCGCGCGCGTCGTTCTTACAAGAACGGGGGCTGGGGCGAGATGTTACTCCAAAGCCGCGGTCGACCGAACTGATTCGGATTTGAAGTTCGCGCTCTTTTATGTTTGCGCGTGCCCGTTTTTAGGGTGTTGTGGGTGTTTGCGGGTTGTGCGATCATGTTTCAGGTTGTAGTAACCTGAAATTACGGGTGTTTCAGGTAGTGATATATTACACGCATACAATTTTTATATCATTTATTAATTATTTATTATACAATAATTTACAGAACATTTTTTTCGATTTTTCTATTTTTGCGATTTTTTAATGCTTCTATTGCGAATTTCTCAAGATAACAAAGTTTTTCTAATTTTTCTTTTTGTATTTTAATTTTTTCTAATGCTCGTTCACGTTTTTCTCCTAAGTATAAGTAGCATTGATAATGTTTCATATTGTATGTTTCTAGAGTTTCATTGCTAGTAGTAAGAATTGTTTTTCTTTTTTTCTCTGTCCCGTCCAATGCGTAAAGAATTACATCTTGCGAACTTATTTTCTCCTCGTCTGCTTGGTCATTTGCAATGCGTGTAAGATGAACGTGTTTGTTGGGCCGACCACTTTTAGAGGCAGATGAAGATGCTTTTCGTTTCAGACTTTTTTTTAAATTGTTTATATTTTTACCCATCGGTTTTTTTCACGGGGGTAGTGGAAGGAGGTTGTACGGTGACGGGGGACGTTGGTGGGGATGGATTATCGCTACTTGATTCTTCTAGTACTTCGGTGGTTGTGTCAGTCATTAAATATTCTGCATCGTTGTTGTTGTTGTATAAAATATTCGGGTTTATGGGGTTCATGATATTTAATAAGTCTGTGTTATAACATTCGTTCACATTGTTCAAGATAGGCGGTGACGTATACGGTGGTGGAGCGTTGAAAAAAGTCTGTGTATGAGGTTGAGTAAGAATTGCGTTATTCTCCATTTCTTGATAAGTCGGTTGTTGTAGCCACTTGATATAGGCTCTATCGAACGACGAGTATACGGGGTTAGCTAGTCGAAAAAACTGGAAATCCGTAAACTTTTGAACGTAGTGTAGTCGATTTAGGTTGTTTTCGTCGACTCCTTGGTATTCAAAGAAGAGCTTTAAATCTTGCTGTTGCTGTGCTGAAGCCATAGTGAATAAACTGTCTGAAAATTCTTGTGCGCGATTGTTTTAGACATAAAAAGTAGATTAATGCAGTGACAGTGTAGAAAGTCGATTACCAAATATGGTTGCGAGTGAAAAAGTCGATTACCAAATATGGTGCGACGTTGTGTGGGGTTGTAACAAATGATTGATCTGTTTTTCTTAGAATGAAAGAATTATTGGCAAGATGTCGTTTAATAATTCGACGAAAAATGCAAAGAATGTTGGATTTGCCCACCTTGTTGACCTTGTTGATTAGCATACTTTTGCTAGTTTGGTTACGATATTGGTTACCTTGTACTGGTGAATGTGTGAAAATATTTACAGAAATTGTTGAAGAAATAGCTACAAGTTCTACTATGACTGACGGTGAGCAATATGATAAAAAGATAAAACAACTTTTAATAAATCGTGTATTGTCGAAAAATAGAACATGGATAAAAGGATCTTCTACCATAGCATTTTATTATTGTGATCATGTTTATAATATACGATATGTTTTAACGGGACGACTTCGATATAAAGCGTACGGTATAAATGTGTATAACGTGGGTTTTGTGAATTTGGGCGCAAACGAGACGTATAGAAATCTTATGAGTATACCTACAAGTTTTAAAAATGATGATTATTTTTTTGCTCGGAGTTCATCTTTGTTTGATACGTTTTATACGGTATTACGAAGCATAATTTATCAGAAGGTTGATGTGTGGAGAATAATTAAAGAGATTGTTATGAGAACAAAAATACTATGCAGTTATATGTTGTTACAAGATATCATTGAAGATATAGCAAAGGCTAAAGCGACGAACATTTGGCTTGATCTATAGTATTTTTTTTTTTAGACTATTGAAATGGAATGGATGCAAAATGTTCGCGATCCTTTGTTATCTATAGATATTCCACTACAAAGTAGAATGTGTGATGGGAATGTTGACTATGCCAAGTTTGATGTGTGTGAAGCAAATCATTTGTTGAAAATGGATGAACAATATTTGGATTTTATTTTAACATTTTCAAGAAAAAATATTGTAAAACTATCAACGGACAAAGCCATGTGGTTGGTAAATAATGGAATGATTGTACCGTTTCCACAAACTTATTTTTATTTTTTAAATTCTGTCGTAAAACAGAATACACAAGTAATTACAATGATGATGATATGCTGGAGTCGAGAGATTTATGTAGTTATTGATGTAATTTTTCATCTGACAGCTGAAAAAGCATATACGTACCCTGTGAAATATCGTACACCTTATATTGAAATCAAACATAACTTTAATGTACTTTATTTTATGAATACGCTTTTCACTTGTAAATCAATAAGGACATATGTTTACGGACGTGTAGAAACATTTCTTGAAACTATTTTTCATTTTAGTTCTATGGACTTGCCGTTAGAGACTGTATGTGTAAAGTGTTCTGATTGTGTACGAATGCATGGTTCGTATCGTTTAACTGAAATTTTACTTTATTATTGTAAAATGCTTAG